AAGGTAATGAAATATTAAATACATACTACACACAACCAATTAATATAATTTATAAATAAAATATCTAAATAAAAAATTCAATTAAATATTAATTTTGTATTTAATTAAGTGATTAAATAAATAATTAAACAACGTAATTAAATATTAAATAAATAATATACATAACTATGCCGGAGAGGATCCCCAACTTGACAGATAATGTCGCGAGTTTGGATGACACCTTGTACGAAACATATTATTGACATGCCATAGCAAATAATTAGCAAGAGGGCTGGATTGCTGTCACAACACATTGTTTCTTCGTACTTGATCGAGGCAAAGAAGAGAACATCTGTTGATGGTACGTTGCCCAACCTCTTCCGTGAAATCGACCCGGGTGATTGTGAAATCTTCGCATTGAAGTTGGGGCTGTAAATAGATCAGATATATGGATCGGATCTGCTCAAATTCGATCCGATCCGTTAATAATAATTATTCTATCCGATCCAATCCAATCCAATAATCCGACAAATATTTGAATGTTAAATCCATATCCGATTAACTATGTTATTGGATATTCGATTCCGAAATTGAAAAAATTAGAAAAATAAATATTTTTTTATTTATCAGATGGGAATGACCTATATCCATATTTGATTCATTTAGTTAACGGATTATCGAATTTGAATCTTAATTGGGTTATCGGATCAAGACCCTAAAACCATCTCCCATTAATTTCGTAGGATTCAAATCAAATTCGGATCAAAATCCAATCTATTGATTCATTTAGTTAACGAATTATCGAATTCAAATCTCGATTGGGTTATCGGATTAAGATCCTAAATCTATCTCCCATTAATTTCATCAGATTCAGATCAAAAAATTCATTAACAGCCATAATTGAAGTACATTGAACTTTTAGCATCGAACATGGCGTAGAGCTGATAAACTAAATACACATTAAAATGCAAGCGTTCTTTTATATACATTGTGATCCGTAATTATAATAATTTCAAATGTAACCATTTTTTTAAAACGTATGTAATACTTTAGTTTTTATGTAATTGTATAATAAATAGCTAATTACTCTTAATTACATATATCACACTATAAATAAAGAAAATTGAGGAAATCAGTAACACACTATAAATAGAGAGTACATAGAATTTAAATAGATATTACACATCCGTTGGGTAGAGAGAAACATACTATAATCGGGAACTTCTCACTTGACTTCATTTGGTAGAGGAAATATAGTTTCGACATTTTTGAATAATATTCTCATATACTGTGTGATTTATGTTCTAATTAAATATTAATTTTCTATTCGAATAAGTGATTAAATAAAGTAATGAAATATTAAATAAACAATATACATAAAAAATTAAGATAATTAATTAATGAAATATTTAAAGAAGAAATTAAATTAAATATTAATTTTTTATTTGAGTAAGTGTTTAAAATAAATAATTAAATAAAGTAATTAAATATACATAACCAGTTAAGGTAATTAATAAAAAAAATATTTAAACGATAAATCAAATTAAATATTGGATAATTCTACATGTACTGATTCATACGGATGTCCATAATGTACATGTGGAATTCCATGAGTGAAAGATCGAAAAAACTATTTTTCAAATCTCCAATAATGTTATGTCACTTGTACATTATAGTATAATATTTTTATTTAAATAAGTAACTAAAATAAAATAATTAAATATTAATTACTAATAATAGACATAACCAATTAAGATAATTAATTACTAAAATATCTAAATAAGAAACTAAATTAAATATTATTTTTTTGTTTAATTAAGTGACTAAATAAATAACTAAACAAAGTAATTAAATAAAGAATATACACAATTAATTAAGATAATTAATTAATGAAATATTTAAATAAGAATTAAAATAAATATTAATTCTTTTATTTAAATAAGTGATTAAATAAATAATTAAATAAAGAAATTAAATTTTAAATGCATGATATACATAATCAATTAAGATAATTAATTAATGAAATATCTAAATAAGAAATTAAATTAAATATTAATTTTTATTTAATTAAGTGATTAAATAAATAATATACATAGCTAATTAAGACAATTAATTAAAATAATATTTAAATAAGAAATTAAAATAAATTTAATTTTTTATTTAAATAAGTGATTAAATAAATAATTAAATATTAAATGAACAATATGCATAACCAATTAAGGTAATTAATAAATAAATATTTAAACGAGAAACCAAATTAAATATTAATTTTTTTATTTGAGTAAGTGTTTAAAATAAATAATTAAACAAGGACCAATTAAGATAATTAATAAATGAAATATTTAAAAGAGAAACCAAAATAAATATAAATTTTTTTATTTGTGTAAGTGTTTAAAATATATAATTAAATATACATTTATCAATTAAGATAATTAGGTAATGAAATATTTAAATGATAAATCAAATTAAACATTAAATTTTTTATTTAAACAGGTGATTAAATAAATAATTAAATAGATTAATTAAATATTAAATAAAGAATATACATAATTGATTAAGATAATTAATTAATGAAATATTTAAACAACAAAGTAAATTAAATATTAATTTTTTTATTTGAGTAAGTGTTTGAAATAAATAATTAAATATAAAGTGAAAAGTGTTTGGTTTTTAAATTTGTAACTTAAGGGTATTTTTGTCTTTTTAAAAAAAGTTCTATCTTTGTAATTGTATAAACTATTTAAGGATATTTTTGTTTTTTACTCAACAAATGGTCATTTTGAAGATTGGCAAATTTTTTTGGTCAAAGTGGAAAAATGACATTTTAACTTGTCTAATCTCAAAAGTAGCCCCCGTGGCGGTGTGTTGGGGGAGTTTGGAGAAGATGAACGGACGGGTTGGGGCTTGTGGGGGCTGAATTTTTTTTTAAATTGTTTAAATTGTTAATATTTGAAATAATGTAGATGTACCATTTTACGCTTTTCATTTGGTCAAAAATGGACAAATTTTTATTTTCTTGGTCAACTAACAGTTAAATGAACGGTTTCCATCCATTTGGACTCTAGATGATAATTTTTTAAAGATTTGAGATTGTTGATGACACAAACTAAATGTTACGATAAAGTCTGCAAAAAATTCAAAAGTTTGGGATCGTTGCTGCAAATTTTCCTTTTGTATCCATAGACTTGCTAGAGAAGGATATAAGTGAGCCAAGATGACTTGCCAATGGGGCCTAATCCAAGCAAATGCTACTTAATTTGATTGGCCCAATCCAATTATCACCACAAATAGCGAGTGAGCTAAACGGGATCTATGTTATGCAAGCCACATGCCCCCGTAACAAAGAATAACACTACTAGTATCAGTCCGTATAACATTATGTATGTTCAATTAATTGTAAAATTATGTAAATGAATTATGCATTCTTCCTTTGGGCTTTGCAACATGTACATTAAACTTAGAGGAAATTACATAAAACTAGGCATTTCAAAAATATAATTCAAAAATCAGATAATAAGTTTGTTTAATCACAAATCAGGTACCCATCTTATCCATTCAAATTCCAAACCCTAAAATTTTCATTTTCACTCGTATTCTCTCTTCAGTCTCTCCGCACCTCCAGCACCGTCGCCCATTGCCGGAGATCGCCACGAACTCATAATGGCAATAGTTGATGGTACAAGTGATTGTTTTCCCTATTCCCTCTTACTCTTCTATGTCTCTCTAAACACACGCAGTCACTTATCTTCTCTTCTCCCTAATTTCTCTTATCAAAATAGTGGCGGCGTCGCCATTGGAAGAAGCTCTTTGACTCAGCGGTGTTACCATGGATCGTCTGCACAGCAACATCACCATCGACCGTCGCGAGTAGCAACACCATGAGCAGTGTGCTGTTGTTCGTTTTACTCACCTTGATTTGAGCATCGCGGACATCGTTGCTTAGCCATGGTTTTGGGGTGGTCTTCAATCATGAATTTGATTTCGTGGTGGTTGTGGAGTAATTTTGAGGTGTGTTTTTGTTGGCGGTAGTGTTTCTACCGTGGCGGTAAAGTTGCATTGGTGGTGGTGTGGTATTGTTGGAAACTTGGTATGTTGAAGGGAAGCAGGTGGCGACTGGTAGCCGACTTGGCTTAGTACGCCAGTTGGTGGGTAGCCATGGTGTTGTTGTTGTTATTGTTGGTGTTGGTTGTGATGGTGTTGTGGCAGGGGGGGGTAATGTTTGTGACGAAGTGTTGTGGTGGAATGGGAACGGGATAAGGTCTGGTGATGCGATAGTGTTGGTGCAAGTTGCGATTGGGCAGTGGTGATTTGGGAACAAGATCGGTGTTGGATTGATCGGTGGTGGAGGTGTTTGGAATTTGTGACCAACTATTTTGGTGTCTGCGATCCATTATTTTGTTGATTTGTAACCAAAATTTATGTGTCAGTAATTAAAAAATTATTTGTGACATATGTAACACATAGATAAAATGTGGTATATAATTTGAATGATTTGTAATTTCGAAATAATCTATGACCTACAAAATTTTTGATCTGTGACCAAGGAATAATCAGTGACCAATTAATTTGGCTATATGTGACCAATAAATAAATCCGTGACTTTTAATTATGAATTTGTAACCATTAATCGTTTAACTGTGATTTTATTATCTTTATTTAATAAATATTTTTAATTAATTAAAAATATACCTGAATTTTGAATTTTTGTACTATCTACCTGATTTTTGAAATGGTGTAAAGAATACAACTGAAATATGATTTTTTCCCTTAAACTTTACCTAATGAATTATATTGAGCCTGTTTGTGCCATATTTTTCAAATTATTTTCATAAAAAAGTTGACATTTGGAATAGGATATGGAATCCCACAAATGAAACAACGGTCAACAATTGCAACTTGAAGAGGGATATAACAGTAAAAAGTTTCATTTTTATGCCCCCAAAAAGTTGGCTCAAACAAAGATATAATGTCATATATTAATCTATCATTTGTAATTTAAATTTAACAATTAAATTTTTCATTCAAGGTGCAAAATCCTTCTAGACCCTTTCATCCTCAACTTTTGCACTCTCTCATTTACTGAGTAAAAGAGTTGCAGTTACAGAGAGAAAGAGGTGGGGGAAATATCAAGAACACATCTCACGTTCTACCTGTCTTCATCGAAAGGTAATTTTTATCTCTACTTTTCCTGCAATTCAGATTGTCAATTTCGGGACTTGGGTTTCTGGGTAAATTCTAGTAAATATGCTGTCTTTAATTTTGACTTTTCAAACAATAATGCTCAGGAAATACAACGGATTCATCTCTACATACTCTTTAAAAATTCTCATCTTTCTTGGATGCACTAATAATTATCAGGATTAACTTTTTGGGATTCTTGGTTTGGTTATTTATAGTGCAGCATAGTTCTATCTTTTATCAGTGATTTCCTGATATGTTTCCAGTATTTTCGTTATAATATCTACTCAATTCTATAAATCTTCTATAAAAAGTATTCAATTTAACAGAAATATATTGTTTGCGTCTCCGCCAGTTAAATTCTCTTTTTTTTAATTTAAGCTTAAACACAGACTTTGGTTGGTCAAATAATAAGCTTTAAATATTCATACACGTAAGTTTATTCATGCATATATGTGTTTTCTTTGGGTTAATTACATGAATGTTTACTTCTTAATAATTGAACTTAAAAATGTATCTCAATGGTCACTAAACTTCATCAAGTATTACTACTTCATAACTAAACTTAAAAATATCTAAATAGTCATCGAACTCTGCACCATGTTACCCATCCATCACTCAACTGGAAAAATCCATTAAGTTCAACAAATAGCGTTGACTTGAGTGATGAATAAATAACACGGTGCATAGTTCAGTAATTATTGAGATACATCTTCGAGTTCAATTAAGTAGTAGCACTTGATGAAATTTAGTGACCATTGAAATATATTTTTAAGTTTGGCTCTAAGTAGTAAAAATTTCTTTTTTCCTCAAATTGACTTCTTTGAAAGAAGAAACTAAAGAAAATGAAGGAAAAGAAGTTCTATTTTTATTCGATATACAGTTTCAATTAGGATGAGAAGTACGTTTGATTTTTAGATCAACTGGTATCAGTTCACCATATCTCGAATTTCGTATAAAAAGATTGAAAGAGAAACAGTAGAATTACTTAAAGAAAATGATAAAGAAAAAATAAAAAAATGTTCGAATTAGTACCAATGTAACTGAGGTCGATTTGATTTTTCAACTTTTTTCCTTTCATTTTCTTTAGTTTCTTCTTTCACAAAAGTCAATTTGAGGAAAAAAGAAATTTTTACTACTTAATGACAGAACTTAAAAATGTATTTCAATGGTCACTAAATTTTGCCAAGTGTTACTACTTAATAACTAAACTTAAAAATATATCAACAGTTATTGAATTATGCACTGTGTTACTAATCCACCACTCAAATCAACACTGTTTGTTGAACTTAATGGATATTTCCATTTGAGTAATGGATGAGTAACACGATGCATAGTTCAGTGACCATTGAGATAGATTTTTGAGTTCAGTTATGAAATAGTAACACTTAGCAAAGTTCAGTGACCACTTAGTGTAGTTTTTAAGTAGTAACATATGACAAAGTTTAGTAACCATTCATGTAATTAACCCGTTTTCTTTTATATTGATTTCTCACTTGAATATACTAAAAATATGCCTCTGTTCATTAGTTACAACTTATCCAATATTAAATTACTGCACAATTTTGCACATTTCACGGGGAGAGGGGAAGAAACTGTAATGTAAAATTCTAAAACTGTGAATTTTTGAGAATTATTCTTGAGGTTAGGCATACTTTTTTTTTCCCTCTTAATGATTAGCTGAAGTTCTCTTTTGGAGCTATTATTAGTCGCATGATGGACTTCACGATTATCTGAAGTTTTTCTATGAATTCTTCGTTTTTTAATGTTTCCAACCCTTATCATCAGCTATCTTATATGTTACATCCTGTAGAACAAAAAAGCAAAAAAGTTGAAATGGCTAATACCTAAAAAATCAAAGTATCATAAAGAATTATTATAAGTTGCTATCAAGATTATGTCATGATCTTTACATGGGTATGTTATGTCATCACATGTAAAAATAATATGAAACTATGTTGGCATCTTTTCTTAGAAATATTGTATGCATTTCCTTAGACTGCTTTATTTATAGTTAAGTATTTCACCTGCTACTTTTGAAATCTTGTTCTTTTTTATTCAGAAAATCAGGAAATTTGGGGGAATTAAAGAAGAGAAGTTGTAGGCCTTTTTGTGGTTACGATGTCTGAAACAAATACAATGAGTAACAATGAGGTGGTTCACCATTATTTTAGTGGTACAATACCAGCTGAAGTTGCTAAAAATTTGAAAGAGATCTTTCCCGAGTTTGGGGATCTTGATGACGACGAAGTTCTTTTGCAACAGGTATTTCAAAATTTATGCAGCTTTTTATTTTAGATTAGCTAAAGATAGTGTTAGATTGTCGAATTACATAAGGATAGTGTTGGATTGTGGAGCCACAAGAAATTTCCAGCACGGATGATGGAGGAAACAAAGCCATGAACAATGGATCTTGTGGAGCTTAATTGCACCTTACATTTTTCTGTCGACTATGGGATCTCGCGTCATAGGGGTGGTTGCCCCCAAGTCAGTTACACACGCGCGCGCACACACACACACACTCATATATATCGCTCTAATACTCCGAGCATATAAAGAATTTATGAAATTCCACTTTTGGATGATATATATAGATTAAGAGGTGTGAGATCACTATTGTAATTCTCCTAATCTCCTTATTATATTGAACAGTTTGCAATGGTGAATAGACATGAATTATTATAAATCTGTGTGCTTGCTCATGTGTGTTGATGATTTTTTTTGGCTTAATATGCTAGTGATATGGGAATTATGTCTTAATCCACCACACGTAGGATACATGCTTTCAGGATAGTCTGGTATTCTGCTTTTTTATTGTCAAGGAACTAATTGACAACTTTCTGTTGTGTTCCAGGAAAGTGCATACATGTATATTCAAGCCAATGAAAAGAACAAAGATACGACCTTGGCTTCTGGTCAAACCAGTAACAGGAGTGAGTTTTCAACAGAAGTGGGCGAATCATCACGTGGCACAAGCGTTGAATCACAGTTGGCCTTTGATGAAGCCCTTGCTAGATCCTTGGAGTTGGGAGATGATTTTGACAGTTTATATATTTTGGAGCACAGTGGCGCTGCAGTTGGTAATTAATTCCCGTTGGTAGTCTTTCTTTTTATATTTTACTCAGGTGTTGATTTTGACAATACATCTAACTTCTGCAATATATGTTCTTTAATTGATAAAATTGCCAATTTTTTCGTCCTTCTGTGTTGTAAAAGAAATTTTTCTGCACGTTTGTCCTCGATACCGAATGGATATTGAATTATACCCATTTCCTTTGCCTCCTTTTTTCCTTTTATACCCAAATTGGTAAGTGTTTTCCATCCCCCATATCCTTTCCTCCCCTTTCCCACTATATCAAACTCGCAAAAGCAATTGTTCTGCATTCTGTCTTAATAGTAACGTGATACAGAAAAAAACTCTTTAAATTAACATTTTAATGCTGGTCTTGAAAATACCAAGTAGGACCAGGAAGTAAATAAGAAGATATAATGCATTTTTTGTTTGCTAAATCCTGAGAAACTGTAATCGAAGGCAAATATATGAGCAGGTATGCATATGTACACAACTATGCATACAACATTTACATCCTTATCAGTTTAAAATTTTTATATTTTCATTGCCATATGGAGCAATTATTCATTTTTAATGAATGCTGATTCTGTAAGTGACCTATATACTTATCTACAGAGAGCAGAGAATCAACACCTAGGGAAACACCTATCCGGGTACTTGCGCTACTTTATCATGCTTCATGCTTTTTACTTTTCATTTCATGAGTTAAAACTCGTGGTATGATATATCATTTGTGTTTAAAATGCAGATTGTGAATCAGAACATAAGAGATGATGAAATTGATACGGACAATATGACCTATGAGGTAAGTAGACTGTATAATCGGCATAAAAAGTTATGCTTGACTTGTAAATTGTTTGCTCCAAACTTTTAATGATTTCTGGTTCATTTTATCCATTCTCATTTCTCCTGCTTATTGCTGTGGTTATATGCTTTTAACTTTGAGTGAAATGATAATAATGGATTGTCCATCAATTCAATTCGATGGTGAGTTAATTTACACCACATAAGTACCAATATGAAAAATATGTTAAATGCTATTAGGAAACATAAGCACATCATATTTATTGGGACTATGCCCAAGAATATGTCAAATGACTTGTGACATGTATGGTGGGAGGATTGAATAACAGTAAAAGTATCTCCAAGAGACTCTTTAAAAAGTCTCGTGATTTCCAAATGATAAAATATGCTTTTTAAAAATAGAGAGTCTATTGGAGATGCTCTAAGGAAGATAAAGAAGTTAAGACATTGTTTATTGGATGTCCAGTCGTGTCTGCATACCAAACGTGCGCTTGGAGTTCAGAAAGCTCACACACTCCAAAGCCCTCACAGCAAACAAAGCACAAAGCCGAAGATAGGGAAGGAATAAATCCCGAGAAAATTTACAAGCACAGAAGCATTCATCTTTTGTTGTCTTTTTTGTTTCACCTCATCATTCCTGCTCCAAATGTACATATAATAGCCACTGGACTGTTGTACGCTATCCGTATAGAATCAGTCTACATGTACGGGGGAAAATTGTACAGAAGCGTTACAGATTACACACAACAATGGGTTGGGTGGTTTATTTTATGCAATAAAATATTCACATGAGGCCCACCCCAATGTGAGGGCCCTGTAGAACTTATGTGAATTTATTCCCTGTACACGGGGAATAATACATTCGTATATGCATTCTTTTCTGTTCTTGCTGATTCTCTCCTGTTTCATTGTGTTAGCAACTGCAATCACTAGGGGAAGCTGTTGGACATGAGAGCAAAGGACTTTCAGAAGATCTCATCGCACGATTACGAAGTTTCAAATACAAAACTGGGTTGTTTTCAAAGAAAAGGGAAAAGGAAGAGTAGGAACCTATAACTCAATACATCCGTTTGTTGAATATGTTGCATGTTTGAGTAAAATATATCACTAAAACACACATTCATTATTAGAACTCGTAAATGACTTGTTTAACTGACCTATGATCCGTGATATAATATATAAATTCATGTTTATTATTGTTGTGTTACATGAATTCAAGACGTATATTGACCTGATGATGAAATACACATAGGATAATATCGTCTCGTTGGTGTTATTGTTTTCAAGAAGACATGGGGTCTTTTATATAATTATTCGTCTATTACATATTATTTGGTGACTTTTCTCTTTCAATAAGTTATTTGCTTTTTCATTCTTATTTATTTCTTTTTTTGTTGGGGTAACATAATTCCTACACAATGAGTTGTGCCTCTGTTAGTGTCACGTATCTGAGGATTTATCTCTCTTCTATCATCCATTCCTTTCTCTCTTCCTGAAATTATGTCTCTTGCATCATTTATAGAGAAAAAGAAATTATGTTTTTATTTATTGCCTTCTTTTCATCTTTATATCTTAGGTGTGTGATATGTTATGCCGAATACAAAAACGGGACTCGACTGACAACTTTGCCTTGTGCACACATATATCATTCAAAATGCATTATTCGGTGGTTGAAACTCAATAAGGTACCCGTTATTTAAGTCTTCTAACTCCTAAATTACATCTTCAGAGACTGCTTGGCTAAGCTTGAAAAATAAGTAAAATTTACTTTATAACAACTTAATGTTTCAAAACATGTTTGAATAAGTTACTATTTTCTTACTCTTTATGTTTAAAGAAGTTAGTTACATTGAAAGTAACTATGTTCCATTGAAGTATGATTCTATCTCTATTAACAGAATTGCCCTGTGTGTCAAGAGGAGGTACGAGATGAGTAATTTACAAAAGCTCACCGGACAGAATGCAGTTAAAGTCTCTGCTGCTCTAATATCAGAATTTCACCAGTTTTCCAGTTCCCAAATTCTACTGCTTAAAAGGAATTACTCGTATTTTTCTTACTTGTGTATAGACAGCTTCTGGACTTTAAACAATGTAGAAGGCAGTGTATGTAACCTTTGTCTTGTTTTAGATTGTCATTTAGATACGTTTACTGCAGCAGCATGTAAACTATATGCTGGTTTGATATGCAGTGGTATAGACAAAATTACCTTTTTATAATTCAGTTAGCCAAACAAGCTCGATTTTCTGTATCAAACCTGACAGGTTTTTACTTTGCCAACTTTTAAATATTACTCAAGCATTTACGCATCTTTTAAAATTAATTATCGATCCATTGTTCACTGAAAATGATTCCAATTGTCGACGGATAATCTCAAGTGATAGTGGAATCCAGCTATACGAGTTCATATATTTTCAGTTCATTTTCATCCAACCTCTTATTTTCCTCCTCCAATCAAAGGTAATACTCCAAATAAGCTAGCATCTGAAATCAGGATGGGACTACCTTTCTTGCAAAGTTGCAACACGAATTTGGAATTTCTCTAGTTCGTAACATGCATTACTAGTTTCCAGTTATCTGTTCCATTTCTACTCACTGGCATTAAATATAAAACATTTTGTCTCAATTATTTTTCCATTTGCAGCATCGCCTATGTTCGAGTTGTTGGGTGACCACTCTCACCATCACAAGCTAAGCATTCTCAATATTAATTTTAACTGATAGAGGTTTGGTGCAAGGCAAGCGTAAGGGGTTGGGAGCAAAAGATCCTCAACATCTTACTGGGAGCTGGACCGATTGATTCTCCTTGCCTAGGTTTAGTTTCTTGGTTACTTTGCTCATTCTCTGTGTTTCTTGCCCGCCCGCATTACTCGTACTAGCTACCATGTCATTGAATTGAGTGCTCGGGCACCTTGTAACGGGGAAATGATTGTTTGAGCCATATTATTTTCATAAAAATGCATTTTTGAATGGTGTAATGATGAAAAATGTGCGGTTAAAAAATAAGAAAAAGTTTTTGATTTGCGTGTAACATTATTTTATTGAAGAATATGTGGTTGAAATGATTTTAAATTACTATTTAAAAATGTATTTTTTTTCAAATAATGAGGATCAAACATGTCCGGACTAGAAGAAGTTGTTTCTTTGTTAAGATCTTTTGAATTGGGAATATTAAGCTCAAAATTTTCGTAGTGTGTATTGTATTGAATTTATGGCATCTTTTCACTTTCATTAATTTGTTTATAGAAAATTAAGTGGGCAAGGAATATTATAACTGAAATAACAGTTTCATTTGACTACACAAAATTATTCTTATTTATATCGACACACCATCAAGGAAAAAGAGAGAAAAAAAAATAATGATATATTTATATATAAACAAGACAAAATAAACTAAAAACGGAAATTCTGAAAGTAAGGGGTTATTTTATTTAATGAATGAAGTTTAACGTAAATATGGATTGCTGAAAGAAAAAAATTGAATGATCAGTCTCAAAATTCACACTTTTCCTTTCATAATGAATGGAATGTACTCCACGACGAAGAAAATCCACCCTTTATCTAAAGGGGAGCTCGAGAATTAAATTGAACAACTAGAAATAGAAAAATATTTGATGGTGTGTAAATGTTATTTTTAAAAATTAAATTTTATTAGTATATAGAGTAAGAATAATTTAAAAATTATATTACAAAATATGTAACTTGAAATAAATCTAGCCTAATATTCTGGCTTTGAGCACGACAAAGATGGTCTTATTCTTAAACGAATAAAATCTTTGCAAGAAACCTCTAAAATCCTCGTTCCATTTTATAGTAAGCTTTTAATGCTATTTACCTCCAGACACTGGTGTCGCCTCCCTCTACTCTATTATACCTCCGCCGCTTCTCATCCTCAATGGGCGACTCGTCCGCCGCCAAGTCGAAGCCCAATTCCAACTCCGCCTCGCCGACTCACTCCAAAGACGAAGCCTATCTCCAAACGGTCATCCCCAAATGCCAACTCCTATTCGAATCCATCAAAAGCCAGCAGCGAATACAGCGCCTCTCCCTCTCTCCTGATCCTATTCAGTAATCACAATTATCATACTGCCATCCAAATCACCATCCTCTTTTTGCTTTTATTTTTATTTGTTCTAGATTTTTGTTTCCTCAAATTTTTGAGAAAAATATGTTAGGATTGTGTTGCCAGATGGGAAAGTAAAGGAGGGAAAGAAGTGGAATACAACACCGTCTGATGTAGCGAAAGAAATTTCGAAGAGCTTGTCGTCAAATGCGTTGATTGCCAAGGTTGATGGGCTTTTGTGGGACATGCATAGGCCTTTAGAGGGTGACTGTGAGCTCGCGCTCTCACTTTCGATAGTGATGAGGGCCATGAGACCTTTTGGCATTCCAGCGCACACATTCTTCGCCAGGTTCAACACACAAGCTTACTACAGTTTCAGGTCCATGTATGTTTGTGCGATATTCCATTGAAGTGCTGATAAATGCGTTTTACACAATTACTGGGTCCACAAAACATGACTAATTGTTGATCAGTGCATTTGGATTATGGTTTAGTTCTGTATAATTTTTTTGGTTGGACTATGATGGATTAGGCGGAATTCAAGAGAAAAGAAAAATGGGGAAATTCAAAGTATGAGGACTAAATTGCAACATTTCAATAATTGATTCGGACCACAAAATGAAGATTAAAGGTGCTGCGGGTTCAATTGGATGCAATTACAGCTCAAGGGTTGAAAACGCAAGAGAAAGGACTTGAAAGAATCAAGAATCGAATTCAGGAGCTAAAATGCAACATTCGAGAGTTTTTATAATTGTGCGACGGCCCAGTTATTTAGAGTGGGTGACTGCCCAACGTTAAAAAACAATTACCGAGAAGAAAACTTTGAACCAGACGATTGCTCGGGTGACTGCCCAAGCCAATCGCGGCGAAAAAAATTCTGGTTTCCTATTCTGATTGAAATGTTGATGGAAATAAATCTTTGGAGGTATTTTACAACCCCAGTGCTGTCCCTAAAGGGTGAGAACGCATTGAGAAGGAGAAAAACACATATTGGAGAGAATTGGAGCACAACAACGAAGAAAAACACAAAGACCGACGGAATTTCTCGCAATTAATTAACCCGGTGATGTTATTTCTTCAAGTTATTATGTATTTTGTAATTTTTTCCATGCTAGGCTAGAAATTTTTGTACTATGAGATCGACGAACTTTGTAAAGTGATTTTTTTTCATTTTTCTATATTTTTGACATTAAAACACGTATTAAATATTTTGAATGGTTTATATACATTTAAGTTCTTCCATAATTATTGGGCCGTAATTGTGTGAGTATGGTGATCTATTTCTTGCATTCGAGAGAAGGGGAATAGGTACGACAAGGTATAAATCATCGTAAAGTCCGATAGGGGGATAGAGATATACCACTATGCTCTATGTGAATTTTTAAGTGCTCACAAAACTACAAGCACTCTTGTATATTTGCACTCATCATAGAGATATAGGCTGGTGTTATATGAGAGTAGGTTCAACTTTACTCGAGAGAGACTGTTGGATAGATTTAGGAGCATTGATTTTTTATAATTTCAACGTGTTGTCAAATTATAGAACTGGGGTTAAATTGAGCATTATTTGGAGATTCGTGATCCTAGTACGTTATACATTCATTGATTACATCAAACTTGCGTTCCAAACATTCAATTTGTAATTTTAGTTAATCTAAGCGTCAGTTTGCATACTAATTCATTCAGCTCGTACACATTTGCATACCTAGTTTAGGTTAATCACTTTTGATAATCTTGTTTCGGTTAAGGCCAACATAAATAAAATTAGGCCACTCAATTTCTGTGGGACGATATTCGAACTCTAAATTCCACTTTATTACTTGTTACAAACCGTACACTTGCAGTGTTTTAAATCGAAAGAATATTTTCGTGAACAAATGCATGATAATGATTGATTGTTTGTATGTGATTTTTGTTTTACAGTCACTGGAGGTGACTTAAGGATGCAGACTGTGTATTGGCCGTGCGCTACAAGAGGAGAGGTGAAAGCTTTTATTATTATTATTTTGTTGAATGTCAGCCAAATTTTACGATTGGTTTTCCTTTTTTTTCCTCGTGAAATCTTATCGAGCTTGTAAATTGGTGGGCATTTGGTTTTTGATTGCCGATTTGTTACTAGTATAATCTGGTAGTAATGTTATTGGATATTGCTTTCTCGCATACAGATTATTAGTTTAAATTTTATACTTCAGTTTGAATGGAAAAGTATGGAAGGAAATAGTAGGAAAACCTGAAGAGGCCGTTTTTCCTGTGTTTGGTAACAAAGTAAAGCTGGTGGAAAGCAAGAATAAACTGCACCAAGTGGTATACTTGATTTCTTTACATCTGAGTTTCGCTAATGTTGATTTATATGTATATTGCAATATATTTTTTGGATCTCTTTTTAAGTCTAGAATGGAAACCTACAAGAAATTTTTGAAGTGAAGGTAGAAAAATTAATTTCAAGGCGTCTAGTTCATGAAAAGTATAAATAGAATACCTGAAAAATGCTAATGTCATATAACTTCAGTAGTATGTAATTTATTTTTCCCAGATATGTTTAAGTAGTTTAGTGTCATATTTACTTTATTACGATGGTTCCATTTTTGAGTATATTTCTCAATCTTCTTATCCCATACTGAATTAAATGTGGACTAGCTTGTACTTTATATTTTCTTGAGATCACTGCGTTTGGGTGGTTCCAAGTTTCTCATTGGCTTTTACTTATACTAACCATTTCCAGTTACTTTCCTTGTGCTGTTTCCCTGCGGCTGCATATTTAATGAAGTAGAATTTCAGTTGGTATTGATTTCAGGTTCTCCATTTAGGGGGATGAGTCCAAATGGGTCTATCAACTTGAGCATTTCTTCCCGTTGACGTCAAGCGATATTTTTAATCAACTAGTATATTTTACTCAATTTATGAAAATTACGTTGTTTACTTTTTTTCCGAAGTTTGCATTATATGCTTATTCACATGTAATTGTATCATTTAACTGGTAAAGTATTCGTATTTGGAAGGTTTCTCACTATAATCAACTCATTATACAATCCCTTTTTCCAATAATCATGAATTGGAAGAATGATTGACAGGGATTTTATTATGATGCATTTTAAGGTGATTTGGGATTGATTGATGACCACTTTAAACAAATTGAAGCAGCAGCAAAGAAAGCTGTTGATGTATGGCTCTTTCTTTATCTCAAACCACTTTATAATAAATTACCTGCTTTGCACACTTCTAATCACATTGTTTCTGCTAGTGGTA